AGACCCTGATGCATTCCAGAAACCTGATGACCCTGAGTGGACAACCCCTGTCCCCTTTCCTTCATTTCCCTTGCATCAATTCTTTTTTTTATGCCTATTTTTACTATTTTTAAAAAATATTTTATTTTTTTTTTCTTTTCCTCATTGCAGCTGATTTGTTTGTTTGTTTGTTTGTTTGTTTGAAGCAGGGTCTCCCTGTAGCCCCAGCTGTCCTGGAACTCACTATGTAGACCAGGCTGGCCTTGAACTCACAGAGATCCGCCTGCCTCTGCCTCCCAAGTGCTGGGACTACAGGCATGCACCACCACGCCCGGCTTATTTATTTATTATTTTTTATGTGTATGTGTGTATTGCCTGCATGTAGGTAAGTGCACCTGTGTCATGCAATGCAAAGGACAGAAGAGGCTGTCGGATCCCCTGGAACTGGAGTTGCGGACAGTTGTTAGCTGCCATGTGGGTGCCGGGATTTGAACCCGGGTCTTCTGCAAGAACAATCAGTGTTCTTAACCGCTGAGCCATCTCTCCAACCCCCTATTTTTACTATTTTTAATTATGAGTGTATGTGTTGGGGGGGTTGCACATGTGTGCAGGTGCCCACAGAGTTCAGAAGCAGGCATCAGATCACCTGGGGCTGGAGTTACAAGCAGTTGAATGGGTGCTGGAAACTGAACTCTGGTCCTTTGTAAAAGCAGTACTGCTCTTAACTGCTGAGTCATCTCTCCAGTCCCCACCTTTTTTAAGTACACCGATTCTTTTAAAACTAACCACCTGCACCGGGCATGGTGGCACACACTTTTAATCCCAGCACTCAGGAGGCAGAGGCAGGCGGATCTCTGTGAGTTCAAGGCCAGCCTGGTCTACATAGTGAGTTCAGGCCAGCTGGGGCTACAGGGAGACCCTGTCTCAAAAAGACCAAAAAAAAAAAAAAAAAACTAACCAACTCCGAAAGACTGTCATCACACCCCAGTCAATGTGGAAAAAAGCACTCTTGTGTTAAGATTTTTAAAAACCTATTAAATTTTCTACTCTGTGTGCTTGCTCTCCAGTTTTGGGGTGCTACATACCCTTCCTTGCAGAAGCAAAGTTTGCCTTACAAGACGCCTTCATTTAAGTGATGGTCACTTGATTTTTGATTCTAATTTTGTCTCTAATAATGATATTGTCTCTAAAACTCACTTATTACTTCTTTTTTTCTTTTATTTTCTTTTTTTTTTTTTTTTTTTTTTTTTTTGGTCTTTTTGAGACAGGGTCTCCCTATAGCCCCAGCTGTCCTGGAACTCACTATGTAGACCAGGCTGGCCTCGAACTTACCGAGATCCACCTGCCTCTGCCTCCCGAGTACTGGTATAAAAGACATGCGCCACCACGCCCGGCTACTTATTACTTCTTATACATTAAAACTTTTATCATTCCTTTTCTTGGGTACTTCCAAATTCCAATTAAAGTACGATGCCAACTCATCTTTCATTTTCCTACTAAGGACTGCTAGTTTAGCCAAAAAAGAACCAATTTAGGGACACAAAGTTTCCCCACTAAGGGAAACACAAGCTAAGTTATCTTTAGCTACATGTCCACGTTTTCCAAATATTTGCCAGTTTTCCTGACTACCAAAGAAAACCATCTGGTATACCAGATGACAGTTTTTCTCGAAACTCTTAAATTTCTGTTTTGTTTTGTGTTTTGTTTTGTTTGTTTTGTTTTGAGACAGGGTGTCAAGCAGCCAAAGCCAATCTTGAACTCGCTATGGAGCGCAAGGATGACCTTGAGCTCCTGATCCGCTTGCTTCCCAAGCGCTGCTTTTTCAAGCGTGCATATCATTTCTCGGATTTTTTCCCCCATTTTAGCCACCTTTTCTCCTAAAAATTGCAGTCTTCTATGACAAACCCGAGGGATCTGTGTTTTGGATCTGTGTGTGGCTCCCTCCGGTTTCATCCCAAGGTCAGGTCCTCCCACTGTGTCTGGAGTTTATGCTGTGTGTTTATGGCAATGTGAGGGGGCTCCAGGCACCAGATGATCACCCCTTAAATGTGCCTTCCTGAATGAGCCAGTATGGATACTTCTGACCCAGGAACAAAGTATTTTTGTGAGGTTTTTTTTAACATTTATTTATTTTCTGTGTATATATGTGGGTGGGTGTGCAGGTATCATGGCATGCATATGGGAGGTCAGAGGACAACTTGCAGAAATCACATCTCTCCTTCCACTATGTGGGGCCCTGGGATTGAACTCATATTGGCAACATGGCCTTTACCTGCTGAGCCATTTCTCCAGCCCTGCGGCATGTTGTGGCCCAAAAGTATGTTGTTTGGGGTTTTACTAAGAAGCCATCGAATGTTCTGGAGAGTTCCTTCCAATGCTTCCACCTGCTGGGTTAGAAGGAACTCTGTTGCTCTTATCTTCAGCATCTTCATGATCAACCCTCATAACATTTCTATACTAAAAGAAGAGAGGTTGCCATGAACAGGAGAAAGAGACAGAAAAATCTGTTAGATGTTAGAGGCATAGCAGGAGAAACAAGGCGGAATGCTAGCAAGCAAACATCCTGACAACGATATCCAATATAACAACCAGCTCCAAATAAACCAACAGACTGTCAACCAAAACAAAAAGCGGTTCAGAGCCCCAGAAGGACTCACCAATATCCACTCACTGAGGCAACATGGATGGTGCCCCTCTTGGTTACCTGGGCTGATCCAGATGACTCCTCTAGTGAAAATGGGTCATCTCTGAGGTCCCACATCACAGCTCTTTCTCCAAAAGGAGTCAGAGCAAATTTATTCTGAGCCAAGTGACCATGACTAGAAGCACAGATTTAACTTGTCCAAAAAGGCTCATCTCACTGCGGAAGAGGTGACATCAACTTTTATAGACACAAAACAAAAGAAAGTCATAAATCATTGTATTTACCAAATATGTTGGAGAGGACATCAGGAAGGCAGAGCTTGGAAACTTTTTTTTTATAGGTTTCAGATGTTCTTAGCATTTTAATGTTCTTAGCTTTAGGATGGTGGACACTAGTGGCCTGCTGAGTTTAACAATGCATTCCAAAAGTTTTACGTAATAGTCATGAAGATGTGAGCTCAGATAGAGGTAATAAATGACTACAAAAGAGGCCAAAGATAGCCCAAAAGATCTCCAACACTCCATCTTGCCACAATCTGAAACGCTAGTTCATTGGTCAACATGCTCCAGCATCCTCAACACAGATATGGTTTCTTCAGAGAACATCCGTTTGTACTCTTGAATGGGAAGTCTTGTCCTGCCAGAGAGCTCCCCCCCTAGAGTCCTCAGAGGCCCTACCTCCTCTTCAATCTTTGATACAACAAATATTTATTAAGCACCATCTATGTGCCAGCCATTGCACCAGATGCTAGGAATGCAGAGTGAACCAAACCAGCAATGGTGCGTTGGAAGCCGCATTATTCTTCCTCGGATCCTTGTACTTCCTCATTATCCAATTCCATCTTTATTTGCATGTGGATTTGAGCTCAGAGAGAGCAGAGCCCTCCTCTAGACTGCTCCTAGTTATATATTCATGTCTAGAACCACGTCTTGTTTATAGTTAGACCTCTTTAACAGAGGCTGGAGTTGTCGGTCTGTGGTTGAGTGCTTGCCTAGCGTGCAGAAGGCCCTGGGTTTGATCCCTAGCAACACAAAAATTGGTCCTTGTTAAAGATGCACCCGTAGCTGTTTCAAATTGTATGCAAATGTGTACCTGTTAAATCCTGAAAACTTAGCCCTATTGTAGATGAATTAGTAGGCAAAATGACAGCTGGGAAGGGAAAGAATCTGGCTGCAGCTGTCCAGCTCCTGACCAATATGCAAGCTGCCTCTAAGTTAATAAATTGAACCTAGAGAGCTGGGAGGGGGTCATGGGGCTCCACTCCTCTCTGAAGCAGTTAATAATCCCTGGGGAGTGAGAGATTGTCTTGGGTGGCATAGCTATGCTCCTGGAAATAATTTCTCAACCAAGACCCTGTAATCAACTCTAATGAAACTCATCAGTTCATCAAATATTAACCAATTCATTAATACCAATGAAAGTCAAAGAAGGACTAAGTGGAAAAGGAAGGACTCAGCAGGAGGGGAACAAGAGAGGGTAATGAGGTGGATATGAAAAAATACATTATATGTGTATAAAATGCCAGAATGAAGCCATTATTATGCATAATTAACATATGATAATAAAAAATTAATTAGAGCTGGGAGATGGCTCGGTGGAGAAAATGTTTGCCACTACTCCCAGAACCCACACCAAAGCTGGGTGATCCCTCCCTGAGGAACAATGGCTAACTAGACTAGCTGGAATCCTCGAGCTCCCTGTTCAGCGAGAGACCCTGCCTCAATAAAATAAAGTGAAAACGAATCAATCCAGGGGGACACCAGATATCAACTTGAGGCCTCCTGCACGTGTGCACAGGTGTATGAGCACCGACGCATACACATGCACACGCGCACACTGAGAGACATACACGAATGAAAACACGTGTTTTTTTAACATGAATTAGTGAGCCAGGCTTGGTGGATCCTGCCTCTCAGCCCTTGAGAAGTGGAGGCAGGAAGATTAAAAATTCAAGATCATCTTCAGCTACACAGTGAGTTACAGCCCAGCCTGAGCTACCTGAGACCCAGTTTCAAAACAAAAGAATAATCACCCAATCAGAGCGACCCAGGTCCAAAAGCTAGGTCAGGAGCCTGGCTGTAATCTCAAGTCAGCAGAAGGTCAAGTCCCTCCCGGTTGGTGGAGGTTAAGATGCGGGAGGAAACAAGCTCCCTAGACACTGCACATGCACGCACGCACGCACGCACGCACAAGATAACCATGAGGGAGGTAGGAGCCGGAGAGAGCAGCGCAGGGTCACCACAGGGTGCAAGGTGTGGCCGCTGCAGCCAGCCAAAGTCTCCTGCTCCCAGGTTCCTCTTGTTTGCTAACTACGCCCAACCTGGAGCCCAAGGATCTGTCTCCGCCCCCCCCCCGCCCCCCCGAACTCCAGGCAAACCTAAATGACCTCGGAGATCCGTTCCTGCGTTTGTCCAGGACTTCAAGCTGGCGGTCGTAGCCTGGGAGAAATTTGGGCGCGGGGAGAGACGCCTGCAGTAGGCTACCCCGCCCCCTCCGCCTGATTTCTTTGGGAAGGGAGCGGCCCGGCTCCCCGCCCCTAACTGGCCCCGCAGCCGAGGAGCGTCTGGGAGGTGGCGAAGGAGCCAACCTGCAGCGATGGAGGCGGCCGGCACCTGGGCGCTGCTGCTGGCGCTGCTGCTGCTGCTGCTGCTGACGCTGGTGCTGCCCAGGACCCGGGCCCAAGGCCGCCTGCCCCCGGGGCCCACGCCACTACCGCTCTTGGGAAACCTCCTGCAGCTCCGTCCTGGCGCGCTGTACTCCGGGCTCTTGAGGGTGAGGGGACACGGGGACGTCCTAGCTAGGGGCAGAGGCAGGATCCACCAAGTGCCAGGGCAGGTGGACTTGGGGATATTCTAGGAAGGAGCCAGGAGCAGAAGTTCCCAGGGCAAAAGGACTATGGCTGCCCTGGCCTGGGGGGACTGGAGCAGAGTGACTGTGGCAGAAAAGGGGAGGGTCCCCAGGTTGGAAGAAGCAGAGCTCTTAGGTCCCGGAGAGGGAAGCAGGATCCAGGGTGGGCAGGGGTTCCAGAGGGACGAGAACAGGTTGTCCAGGGCTTAGGAGAGAGGGATGTCCTGGAGACTGGACTGAGGTATGAGGGACCCAGCTGACAGAGAGCTAGAGAAAAGGTGAGAGCCAGAAAGAATGACCCAGAGGGGCAGGGGGTCCCAGGTCAGGAGGACCCACAGAATGCTGGGAGGATTGTAAGCTGGGACCAAAGCTGGAAGGCAGGCACTGTCTAGACAAGTGGTAGCAGGCCAGGTTGACCCACAGGAGAGGAAGCTACCTGAGGAGGAGATTCTGGAGGACTCTGAAGACTGAAGGGGGCTGAAGGGTTCCAGGCTCAGAGGAGAGAGCATTCTGGGATGAAGGAATCTGCCTCAGAGACAGTGGAGTGGGAGGACGGGTATAGCTCAGCCAGGAGCTAGGAGTTCCTACCACTGGGTGGGAGGATGAGGAGGCAGTCCCAACTTGCCAGGGGTGGTGGGGCATGAAGTTCCCCATTCAAAAATATTCTGAGGGACTTTAAGGACAGAGAAAGGGGGTGGGTGTTCAAAGGAGAGAGGTGGCAGATGCTCCACTGCAGCTGCTGGGGGATTTAGGGGTTTAGCAATGGTTGAAAGAGGTAACTGGATATTGGTGGAGGAGGGGAGAACTAGGGGAGAATAAAGTTAATTTGGGATGGTCCCAAGGTCAGAGGTTAGAGCCTGGCAGGAAGTAAGAGGGTACAAAAGGATGTGTTTAGGAAGCCCACCCCCACTGCCTGATGCAAAAACAGAACTGAGTTTCCCAGAAGGGGCACTTCTGCTTGGGGTGGGGAGGGAGCAGGTTCCTCGTGTAGGGAGCAAAAGCCAGACCAGATGGAGCTGGAACAGATAGAGCCTGGATGGCAGAGGCAGCTCCTTATGATCCATCACCATCCACTTCTCCTTCTCTGTCTCTAGTTAAGTAAGAAGTATGGGCCTGTGTTCACGGTGCACCTGGGCCCCTGGAGGCGTGTGGTGGTCCTGGTTGGGCATGAGGCTGTTCGAGAGGCCTTGGGAGGTCAGCCGGAGGAGTTCAGTGGGCGAGGAACATTGGCAACACTGGACAAGACTTTTGATGGTCATGGTGAGTCATGAGTCATGAGAGCAAGTGGGACGGCTGGGTCCTGCCCTCACTTACAGGTATGGGGGTGATTGTTGCACTTGGCTTAGTGCCACTCTTTCCTTTGTATCGGGGTGATAATGGTGCCTGACACATCGGGATTGAATGGGGCCTGGACCACATATCGAGTGAAGAGTGCTTACTCACTGATTACCAAGGTGAGGTGATAATGATTATTAATCCAAGTGAAGCCCAATGATGGGAAACTTTCCAAGAATCTAGCAGCTGACATACAAACACTCACAGCATAGAAACTTAACAGGGTATAGTGATCCTTGCCCCGCAACCCCAGAATTTAGTAGGCTAAGGCAAGAAGTTTTGAGCCAACCTGAGCTAGATAGTGAATTCAAGGCCAGCATGAGCTATAGTATAACCCTGTCTTGAAAAAGCAGAGACTGGGATATAGCTCAGTGGTAGAGCCCCTGCCTAGAATCCCCCAGTGAGGGGTTGGGGGTGTGGTTCAGTAGTACAGCCCCTGCCTAGAAGCCCCCAGTGGGTGGTGTGGGGTGTGGTTCAGTAGTACAGCCCCTGCCTAGAAGCCCCCAGTGGGTGGTGTGGGGTGTGGTTCAGTAGTACAGCCCCTGCCTAGAAGCCCCCAGTGGGTGGTGTGGGGTGTGGTTCAGTAGTACAGCCCCTGCCTAGAAGCCCCCAGTGGGTGGTGTGGGGTGTGGTTCAGTAGTACAGCCCCTGCCTAGAAGCCCCCAGTGGGTGGTGTGGGGTGTGGTTCAGTAGTACAGCCCCTGCCTAGAAGCCCCCAGTGGGTGGTGTGGGGTGTGGTTCAGTAGTACAGCCCCTGCCTAGAAGCCCCCAGTGGGTGGTGTGGGGTGTGGTTCAGTAGTACAGCCCCTGCCTAGAAGCCCCCAGTGGGTGGTGTGGGGTGTGGTTCAGTAGTACAGCCCCTGCCTAGAAGCCCCCAGTGGGTGGTGTGGGGTGTGGTTCAGTAGTACAGCCCCTGCCTAGAAGCCCCCAGTGGGTGGTGTGGGGTGTGGTTCAGTAGTACAGCCCCTGCCTAGAAGCCCCCAGTGGGTGGTGTGGGGTGTGGTTCAGTAGTACAGCCCCTGCCTAGAAGCCCCCAGTGGGTGGTGTGGGGTGTGGTTCAGTAGTACAGCCCCTGCCTAGAAGCCCCCAGTGGGTGGTGTGGGGTGTGGTTCAGTAGTACAGCCCCTGCCTAGAAGCCCCCAGTGGGTGGTGTGGGGTGTGGTTCAGTAGTACAGCCCCTGCCTAGAAGCCCCCAGTGGGTGGTGTGGGGTGTGGTTCAGTAGTACAGCCCCTGCCTAGAAGCCCCCAGTGGGTGGTGTGGGGTGTGGTTCAGTAGTACAGCCCCTGCCTAGAAGCCCCCAGTGGGTGGTGTGGGGTGTGGTTCAGTAGTACAGCCCCTGCCTAGAAGCCCCCAGTGGGTGGTGTGGGGTGTGGTTCAGTAGTACAGCCCCTGCCTAGAAGCCCCCAGTGGGTGGTGTGGGGTGTGGTTCAGTAGTACAGCCCCTGCCTAGAAGCCCCCAGTGGGTGGTGTGGGGTGTGGTTCAGTAGTACAGCCCCTGCCTAGAAGCCCCCAGTGGGTGGTGTGGGGTGTGGTTCAGTAGTACAGCCCCTGCCTAGAAGCCCCCAGTGGGTGGTGTGGGGTGTGGTTCAGTAGTACAGCCCCTGCCTAGAAGCCCCCAGTGGGTGGTGTGGGGTGTGGTTCAGTAGTACAGCCCCTGCCTAGAAGCCCCCAGTGGGTGGTGTGGGGTGTGGTTCAGTAGTACAGCCCCTGCCTAGAAGCCCCCAGTGGGTGGTGTGGGGTGTGGTTCAGTAGTAGAGCCCCTGCCTAGAATCCCCCAGTGAGGGGTTGGGGGTGTGGTTCAGTAGTACAGCCCCTGCCTAGAAGCCCCCAGTGTGGGACTGGGGGTGTGGGTCAGTGGTAGAGCACTGCCAAGAATCCCCCAGTGAGGGGCAGGGGTGTGGCTCAGTGGTAGAGCCCCTGCCTAGAATCCCCCAGTGAGGGGCTAGGACATGGCTCAGCAGAGTGTTTGCCTAGAATTTAATGAAAGGCTGAGGGATATGTCCTATGCCTAGCATATGTAAGGTGCTGGATTCCATACCCACATCACAACAGAGAGAGAGAGAGAGAGAGAGAGAGAGAGAGAGAGAGAGAGGAAATATTTATGTTAAGATAGAAAGCAGGGGCTGAAGAGAGATGACTCAGCAGTTAAGAGCACTGGTAGCTCTTGCAGAGGACAGAGGTTCGAATCCCAACACCTACATGGTGGCTAACGACCATCTGTAGCTCAAGTTCCAGGGGATCTGACTCCCTCTTCTGAGCTCCATGGGTATTGCATGACACGGGTACACTTACATACATGCGGGCAATACACTAATACACATATAATAAAAATAATAAATAAAATATTTTTAAATAAAGACAGAAATCACACACACATACACACACACAGACAAAGCCTGGCAGCACAGCAGTGACTCAGACAGCCACTGCCTAGTTCCCCTAGAGCTCCCAGGCTCGTGGGGGGACAGGTCTTTCACCAGACGGTGACAGCTCAGAGGGGTTGTCCAGGACGGAAGGCTCAGGGTAGCATAAGAAAAGTCCTGGGACTATAGAAATTCACCAGAGGGCCCTGACTCCTCCTGTTTGCTAAAGGACACTCGGGAAGCCTGCTGGGGAGAGCAGTGTCTGAGCTGAGGCTCCTGGGCTAGGAGGAAAATTGTGTGCAGGCAGGAGGACCAGCGTGAGCAAAAGCTTTGAGAGGGAAGCATGCATCCATTCTACCCGCAGTCACCTTGTGCCTGGCCCTGTCCTAGGTCCTGAGGACACAGGTGACCAAAGCAGATGCAGACCCTGAGAGGAAGCCTGTGATAGAACGGCAGAGGGGATAGAATTATAAAATGAGAACTACAGCTTTGAGAGAACACAAGGGACCAGTGCTTGGGAGAGGGGCTCCTTAGGGGAAGTGACATCTAAGCTGAGGCACAAAGGGTAGATGTTGGGGGAGCAGCCAAGTGTGATGGCTCCTGCCTTTAATCCCAGCACTCCAAAGGCTGAATCAGGAGAATTGCTAGGACTTCAGGCCAGCCAGGGCTACATAGCAAGACACTCTCAAAGAGCTAAAAACATAAATAAAAGTGAAAGGATAGGGGTGCAGCTAAGGATGTAGTTAGGTAGTAGAGCTCTCCCAGAATCCCCCAGTGAGGGGCTGGGGTGTGGCTCAGTGGTCGAGCACTTGCTTGACATGAGAAAGGCCCTGGGTTCAGTGTCCAACACACCCCCCCCCCACAAAAGATGAAGGGACATGAGAGTGATGCAGGCAGAGGAACCAGCAAGGTGGGAGGGGAAGAATCATGATGCCTTTGAGGAAATGAGAGAAGTCGTAGTGGATGATTAATAAAACTAAAAGTCTTGGGACTCTGGTCATTTTGCCTGTGAGTCACATCAGAGCTGCTGGGCTCCTGGTTTTCTGGGAGCTGTACATTTTAAATAGGGAAGGATTGTGGAGCATGGGGGGAACGGAAGGCTGGGAGTCAACGGAAGGGACCAGCTGGACCAGGACAAGGGTTAAGGACAGAAAAAAGGGGTAGTTTGAAAAGACAAGAGTGTGAGGCCCAAGGTTCTGACCAAGGGCCAGGGGCTCATGGTGGGCTGAGATGGGGAGAGGAGAGACATGGAAGGAAATAGCTTCAGACACAAGAGGTGGGGAAGGACATCTATAAAAGGTGTCTAGAGGCTGCTACAAGCCAGTGTTCAACAAGTGGAAACACAGAGCTCAAAGGGGGACGATCTATGCAGAATAAATGTCTTAGGAGGAAGACAGTGCAGTGTTGTTAACCTTCCCCTGTTCATCCTTCCATTGTGGGCAGGGGCCCCCCATGGTGCTCCATCCATACTGCTACTGGCAGATGGGAGGAAGAGGGATAGAGAGGTGAGAGGCTGGAGAGATGGCTCAGAGGTCAAGAGAAAGTACTGCTCGTGCAAGGACCTGAATTCAGTTCCCAGCACCCACATCGGGAGGCTCACAATTGCCTGTAATTCTAGCTCCTGGGGATCCTATACCTCTGACCTCCAAGGGCACCCCTACTCATGTGCACATACCTACCTGCACACACACACACACAATTTAAAAAGCAAATCTTTTTTAAAGAGGTGAGTAGGTGGGCTAGAGAGTTGGTTCAGTGGTTAAGAGCACTAGCTATTCTTGCAGAGGACCTGAGTTCGAGTCCCAGCACCTACATGGCAGCTAACAGCTATAACTCCAGCTCCAGGGGAATCCAACGCCCTCTTCTGACCTCCGCTGGCATTGCATGACATCGGTGCACTTACATACATGCAGGCAATACACTCAGACACATAAAATGATAAATAAAATATTTTTTAAAAAAAATAAAAAAAGCCAGGCATGGTGCACCTTTAATCCCAGCACTCAGGAGGCAGAGGCAGGCAGATCTCTGTGAGTTCAAGGCCAGCCTGGTCTACATAGTGAGTTCCAGGCCAGCTGGGACTACAGGGAGACCCTGTCTCAAAAAGACCAAATAAATAAATAATTAATTAATTAATAATAAATAAATGGTGAGTGGGTGATTAATCACCAATACCTATTCAGAAGACTGTCTTCTCAGATCCAAGGTCAAAACATTAGTTAATTCAATTATGCACTTACTGAGTACCTACTGAGTCCTCATCACACATACACACCCCACACACACACCACACACACGCTGCACATACCACAGACACACCACACACACCACAGACACACCACACATACATACCACACACACACCGCACACACCACACACACCATACACACACCACACACATACCACAGACACACTACAGACACACCACACACACACCACACATACACACACCACACACACACCACACATACACACACACACACACACATGCACCACACACACCACACACACACCACACACACCACACACACCACACACACACACACATATACCACACACACCTGCTGGTCTGGTACAGGCTCAGGACAGGGTCTTGGGGCATCTCATTGTGGGAAAGGGACAATTCCTTTCTTGAACCTAGTCTTCTGCACAGGGGTTTTCTTTGCCAACGGGGAGCGGTGGAAACAATTGAGGAAATTCACCCTGCTGGCTCTACGGGACCTGGGCATGGGGAAGCGAGAAGGCGAGGAGCTGATCCAGTTGGAGGTGCAGTGTCTCTTGGAGGCCTTCCGGGAGACAAAAGGTCAGTAGGGCAAGGTTAACAAAAGACTCCATCCCAGAGGAGGGGGAACTTCCCATCATTCTTGTGGGGGGAGGTGCTGCCTGAGGGAAACCTGTGGGGTTCTGCCACCTCCCCACTGAATTAATCCTTTCTGCAGAGGGTACTGACAGGCAGCAGCTGTCCCTGTCCCTGAGATTGTGGATCTCAATTTGGCTCATTGTTTTGTTTAGTTTTTTGACACAGAATTTCATTATGTAGCCCAGGCTGGTCTCAAAACTCACCATTAATCCATCTGGCTCAGCCTCCCAAATTCTGAGATTACAGATGTGAGCCACACTTGGTTTCATCTCTCTTTCTGCCTCTTTTTCTCTCTTTTTCGTTCATCGTCTAACATCGTTCTCCCTTTCTCCATCCCTCCCTCCTCTCCCTCCGTCCCTCCCTCCCTGCTCTTCCCCCCTCCCTCCCCTCTCTCCCCTGACTTCCAGGACATCCATTTGACCCCTCCCTACTGCTGGCCCAGGCCACCTCTAATGTCATCTGTTCTCTCAACTTTGGCCTGCGTTTACCCTATGAAGATGAGGAGTTCCAGGCTGTGGTCCAGGCAGCAAGTGGTACCCTCCTAGGGATCAGCTCCCCATGGGGCCAGGTAAAAGGTGGAACCCTTCTCTACCCACCCTACTCAAAGGTTCTTGCCAAACCACCCCACCCCCCTGAGAACCAGCTGTCTTCCTGTACCCACAGACCTACGAGATGTTCTCCTGGTTCCTGCAGCCCCTGCCAGGCCCCCACACAGAGCTCCAGCGCCACTTGGGCACCCTGGCTGCCTTCGCTGCCCAGCAGGTAGAGCGGCACCAGGGGAACTTCCAGACCTCAGGCCCTGCATGTGACATTGTTGATGCCTTCCTGCTGAGGATGGAACAGGTATGGAAACTTGGGAGAAGAAAGGGTTCTTCTTGAATGGGGCCACTAGCTTGGACGATTATGCATTTATTGAATACCTACTGAGTCCTTATCCCTGGGCTAAGCTGGTACTAAACTCAGGATGGGACCCTGAGAAGAAGAAGCTAATCCTTTTTTGAGTCCAGCCTTCCACGCAGTTTTCCTTTAGGGAGAGAGACTGCCTAGGATCTCTTTCTCTGGGAAGAGGGTGGGGGGTAGGTTGTTGAGATAGGATCTTAGTCTGTAATTGGGCTAGCCTGGAGCTCACCTTGTAGCCTACTGGCCTTGAACTTGCTGTGATCCTCCTGCTTCTGGTTCCCAACTGCTAGATTTACAGGTGTGAGCCACCACCTGGCCTTGACTTCCTTTCTCTACCTACATGTCTTTGTATGGAGGCTGGAGATGTAGCTTAGTTGGTAGAGTGCTTGCCTAGCATGCATGAAGCCCTGGATTTGAGCCCTAGTACCGTACAAACTGGGTGTGGTGGCACACACCTGTACTCCCAGCACATGAGAGGGAGAGGCAGGAGGGTGAGAAGTCCAGGGTCATCCTCAGCTACATAGCAAGTTCAAGGCCAGCCTGGACTACAATGCGACCCTGTCAAAAAGAAGTTGGGGGTGGGGTGAAGGGGGAGACATGAGATGGATCATCTGGTAAAGGCATTTGCTCCTGAGTCTGAGGATTTGTGTTTGATTCCCGGGACCCACATGGTGGAAGGAGAGAATTAACTCTTGCAAGTTGTCCTCTGACTACATGGTGCCATTGCTCACCATGTCCCCACACACAATAAATAAAGGTTAACACAAACAAATAGAAGCTGGAGTTTAGGGCACTGGCTGCTCTTGCAGAGGACCCAGGTGCCATTCCCAGCACCCACGTGGCAGCTAACAACCATCCATAACTCCAGTTCCAGGGCATTTGATGTCCTCTTCCGGCCTCCTCAGGCATTGCACTTAAATACATGCAGGCAAAACACTCATACACATAAAATTTTAAAATAGGGTAGAGAAGAGGAGGGGATCTGAATATGATCAAATACGTTGTAAAATTCTCAAACCGATAAAAATACTTTAAAAGTAATGGGGGCGGGAGTACAAAGATGATCAAGATTGTTTGAGATGTTCTCCCTGAAACGTTGTGTAAATTCAGTCTTCCCAAAGCAATTTATTCACTTCCTTATAAATTGCTTTATCCTATGATTTAACTGTCCTGAAATCTGTATTATGCTTCAAATTTGCTTTGTAACTACATTAAAACCATCCCTTAAAATAAAAAAATTAAAAATTAAAAAAAAAAAAACTTAGTTTGTCTACAGAAGCAGTTTCCAGTTTTAAAAAATAAAATCTTGCTAATAAATAGATTTCTGGGCAAACTTAAGCATGAATCTAAAACTGAGTTTAAAGGAAAATTAAAAACTGTAAACAATTTTAAATAACTGACTTAGTTTATCTTTAGGGGCAAGTATAAATATATGTATATTTTTTTTTCTTTAAAGTAAATTTTTTAAAAAGAGCCAGACACGGTGGGGGATGCCTTTAATCCCAGCACTCCTGAGGCAGAGGCAGGCAGATCTCTGTGAAGTTGAGGCCAGTCTGATCTACATAGCAAACTCCAGGCCAGCTGGGACTACAGGGGACCTTGTTTGTAAATAGATAAATAAATAAATAAATATAAATAAATAAATAAATTTTTAATTGTTAAAAAACCCTCCAAATCTCTGTACTACTTACACAACAGATCTCATTTTCAACTTTCCCCAAACATTTATTTAACCACTCAGGAGAAACAAGACCCAGGTACAGAATTCACTGATAAGAACCTGCTGATGACAGTCACTTACCTGCTGTTTGCTGGGACAATGACCGTCGGTGCCACCATCCGATACGCCCTCCTGCTCCTGCTGAAATATCCTGAAGTTCAAAGTAAGAGCTTTTGCCACCAGCCAGGTCCACCAGCGCACATAAAGGCTTGAGAGGACAGAATGAACAGGCACAGCAGAGCCTACAGATAAAAATGAATACAGAATTTGGGGGTTCTGAGCATCGAGGAGTTGGGGGGCTTCCAGTTTCAGTATAAAACATAGTAAGAAGCAAGACGGGAGATGTCTGTGACACTCTGTCACCTTTATGGTTCATTTTATGCTTTATCCCCATTCATGAGGAGCTTTGGAAGGACCTTGAGCAGGGAAAATGGATCAACTTTAATTTTTTAAAAGATATGTATAGCCAGGCATGGTGGCACACTCCTTTAATCCCAGCACTTAGGAGGCAGAGGCAGGTGGATCTCTGTGAGTTCTAGGCCAGCCTGGTCTACATAGCGAGTTTGAAGCCAGATGGGGCTACAGGGAGACCCTATCTCAAAAAGACCCCCCCAAAAAAAGATATTTATTTAGGACATGGTCATATGCTATAGCCCAGGCTGGCCTGCTGCTCAACTGTATACTCCAGGCTGCTCTCTAACTCACCTGGCTCAGTTTCCCAAGTGCTGGGTTTACAGGTGTGAACTACTACACCCATTTTAAATATGCGTCTTAGAAAATCTTAAGCTTCCCTGAAAAAGTGAATTGTAGGAGTGGGAATGTAGCTCAGTAGTAAAATACTTGCCTAGAGTCCCCCAGTGAGGGGCTGGGGTGTGGCTCAGTGATAGAGCATCTGCCTAGAATCCCCCAGTGAGGGGCTGGGGGTGTGGTTCAGTGGTAGAGCTCCTGCCTAGAATCCCCCAGTGAGGGGCTGGGGTGTGGCTCAGTGGTAGAGCACCTGCCTAGAGTCCCCCAGTGAGAGAATTCTAGGGGAGTGACTCAGTGGTACAGCACCTGCTGGGAAACTACCTGTGAAAGGTTAGGGGTATGGCCCTATTGTAGAGTGATTACCTAGCATATATGAGGCTCTGAGTACTAACCCCAGTAACAAACACACACACACACACACACACACACACACACAAATGGAATCATTAGCCAAGTGCCGTGGTGCACACCTGTAATCCGAGCAAGAAGATGGTGAGTTCAAGGCCTGCCTTGGTTGCACATTGATTTCCACTGTAATCTGGGCTACGGCGTCTGAGACCTTGTCTCAAAACAAAACAAACAACAAGAAAGAGGCAAGGGTCTCAATCAGAACAGAGGTCCTAAAGCTGCAGTGGTCAGGGAGAGATGCTGGATAACCGGCCAGGCTGAGAAAAAGCCCCGGGGAACACACAGCGTCTCCCACAGTGTTTCCAGGTCCAGGAGCTGAGCTAAATGTCTTTCTGCCAATGGAGGTAGTCTGACCTGGCAGATGGGTTTAAGGGCCTGGTGCCACTATTAGAGTCAGCTGCGACTTGGAGTAGGTGACTTGGCTCTCTGTGTCAGTTTCCTCATCTAGGAAACAGAAATCAGTGATAGTACCCACCTTATCATTTGTTGTTATGGGAACTAAGATAGAATAGATACAGTATCCAGCAAATAGGATGTGTGGGGCCCCAGGCTCACCGAGGGCTGGAGGTGCTGCTCCTCACCCACTGCCAGCCTCATCCCAAACCATTACTACCCAAAAGATGGAGCTCCCAGGAGGAGGACCACAGGGTCCTATCCCACCCCTGACCTATAATCCTCTTGCATGCAGAGCGAGTTCGGGAGGAGCTGACCCAGGAGCTGGGGCCTGGCCGGGCACCAAGCCTGAGTGACCGTACCCGCCTCCCTTACACGGATGCAGTTCTAAATGAAACACAACGCCTCCTGGCTCTGGTGCCCATGGGAATGCCCCGAGCCCTCACAAGGACCACTTGCTTCCGAGGATACACCCTGCCCCAGGTGAGTATGTGGTATGCCCAGGATGATTGTCTCTGCTTTGGGATCTGAGCCTTGAGCTAGCGCTCTCTCTCTCTCTCTCTCTCTCTCTCTCTCTCTCTCTCTCTGCTGCTTCTACAGAGTCTCTCTCTTTCTCTATCAGTCCCTCTCTGTCTCTTTCTCTAACTCTATTTCTCCTTCTCCCCTATCCTTTCTGTCCCCCTCTCTCTTTACTCTTCCATCGCATCCTCTTCTCACCTCCCACCTATTTCTCTCTACCTTCTTTGGAAAGCAGCTCAAACCTAGAACCACCAGAGGGCGATACATCCCAAATCCTGAGACCGACTTGCCAGTAGCTGCTCCTAGAATCAAATCCTTAAGTTAACCCCGCAGTTTTCTAAAGCCGGGGCCTTAAACAAATCACTTCATCCTCTGATCATCAATATAACCGCTCTTCTAAATTAGGAATAATAATAGTATTCATTTGGAGTAGTAAGGCAATGCCTGTAAAACACCCACTCAGCTCTGGGTGGAGAGTTGGGTGATCTGTATGCACAGGGCAGCCACAGTGCTGTGATGACAAGAATCACAGATGTTCTTACTTTATGCCAGGTATTATTCTGAATGTTTTCCATGTTATCGTTTATCTTTTTTATTATTTTATGCATATGAGTGTTTTGCCTGCATGTATGTAAGTATACCACATGCATGCAATGTCTGTGGAAGTCAGAAGAGGGTGTTGGATCCCCTGGAACTGGAGTTACATTGTTAGCCATCATGTGGGTGCTGGGAACCAAACCCAGTTTCTCTGGAAGAGCAACCAGTACTGTTGACTACTGAGCCATAGCTCCTATATAAGTATTATCTTATTTCATCTCCAAAGCAATCCTATACAGTTATCATGCTCAGTTCACAGATGAAGAAACAGAGAGCCGTAAGGTTAAGAGGCTTCAAAGTCACCCAGCCTGCAAATGGGAAGGCAGGATTTGAACCTAGAGACTAACCTTTAACCACTTCTACCAGCCTTCCTGTTTCTAAATATATTTATTTTTATTTTTATGTGTACAAGTGTATCTCCTGCATATATGTGAGTGCACCCGTGTCATGCAATGCCGTGGAGGTCAGAAGAGGGATTCCCCTGAAACTGGAGTTAAGGATAGTTCATAGCTGCCATGTGGGTGCTGGGAATCGAACCCGGGTCCTCTGCAAGAACAGTCAGTGCTCTTAGCAGCTGAGCCATCTCTCCAGCCCCAAGCCTTGCTGTTTTTAACAGCAGTCACAAAACCCTGTCTTTCCTTGGAGCCCCTTCACCTTCCCAATTCATAGCCCATGAGCCAGACTCCCTGCCAAAGAAAGTTGGCCCTCTCCCCCACTGGCCTTCACCCTCCACTACACAAGCCCAGAAACACGGAAGCTCTGATCTGGCCTAAGGGAGGCCACTCTCCCTGAACATGGGCCTTCGTAGACAGGCCTCCTCACCCACCCCTGCGTTTGCCTCTCTGAGACATTCCCCAGAGACGTGGCTTAGGACAGCCATGCTTCCTCTAGGACTCACAGCACACTCAGAACAGTGCAGAGATAGCAAACTCTGCCAAGTTCTCTCAGACGTTCCTTGGGCAGCTGCTTAAGTTCTCCAGGTTTGGTTCCCTCATCTGTCTTTTTCTTTCTTCCTTTCCTTTTCTTACAGTACTATGGATTTGAACCCAGGGCCTTTCACATGTTAAGCACATGCTCTATACTGAATTACATCCCTAACCTCCCCCTTTCTTTTGAAATAAGATTTCATTAGGTGGCCAGGTTGGCCTTGCAGTCCGGCAGTCCTCCTTCCTCAGCCTCCTGAGTGCTGGGATCACAGGAATGTGCCACCACACCCAGCTTTCTCATCTTTAAAATGGGAATAATAGTCTTATCTTCTTCCTGGGCTTCAAGAGATTCAATTAGAGAGGGAGAGAAACAGGGAGGAAGGGAGGAAAAGAAGGGAGGGAAGAAGAGAAGTAGGATCAAGAGAGGGAAGTGGACAGGGACAGGAAAAAAAAAGAGAGGCACTCAGTTAATGCTGACAGTACTGGTTGTTTGGGGGGGGTGCGTGTGTGTGTGTGTTGCTTGCTTGCTTGCTTGTTTGTTTGAGACAAGGTCTCACTATGTAGCCCCACTGGCCTGGAACTCACTACACAGACCAGGCTGACCTCAAACTCACAGAGATCCACCTGCCTCTGCCTGCCAAATGCTGGGACTAAAGGTGTATGCTACCATATCCAGCCCTGGTTTTATTTATTTATTAGTTTGACTTTGTAAATTTTTTAGTATTTTTTTAAAAGATGTATTTGTAAGTTAGAGAGAAGGTTCAGCAGTTAAGAGCACTGGCTGCTTTTGCAGAGAACCTGGATTCAGTTTCCAACACCCACATGGTGGCTCACAATGTCTATAACTCTAGTTCCGGGGGATTTGATGCCCTCTTCTGGCCTCTGAGGGCATTGCACAACACAGGTGCACTTACACATATGTAGGCAAAACACTCAAACACATAAAATTTTCAAAATTTTTAAATGTTTTTAGTTTTTTTAAAGGAAAGAAAAATGTTGATTTTTAAGCAAATTATGCTGAAGTAACAATATAGAAAACGAAGCTATGTGAGCTTGTATCGCTCTTGGGAAAGCCAGAACCTCACAGTTTTTTTATTTTTTATTTTTTATTTTATGTGTATGAGTGTATTGCTTGCATGTATGTGAGTGCACCCATGTCATGCAATGCCGAGGAGGTCAGAAGAGGGCTTCAGATTCCCCTGGAACTGGAGTTAAGGACGGTTTGTAGCCACCATGTGGGTGCTGGGAATCGGACCCCAGTCCTCTGCAAGAGCAGTCAGTGCTCTTAACCTCTGAGCCATCTCTCCAGCCCCAGAACTTCACAGTTTTATTCTGTCCCCTCAGGGCACTGAGATCTTCCCTCTTCTTGGCTCTGTCCTGCATGACCCCGAGGCCTTCCAGAAGCCAGAGGAGTTCAACCCAGACCGTTTCCTGGATGCAGATGGCCACTTGAGAAAGCTCGAAGCATTCCTGCCCTTCTCTTTGGGTATCTGCTGGGCCTGAGGGATAACCAGAGGGTGCTGACTGATTGCAACCAGTGGGTGTCAGTGACACACAGAACAGGACATGCCCCTCACCCTGGGATCTCCGTTGACTCCCCTTGTGGACTCAGATGGGAGCACTGCTGACTCAGTTCCGTCTTCTCTCTCTCACCAGGTAAGCGCATCTGCCTAGGAGAAGGCCTGGTGCGCTCCGAGCTCTTCCTGTTCTTCACTGCCATCCTGCAGGCCTTCTCCCTGGACACCCCGTGCCCGCCGGACACCTTGAGTCTCCAGCCAGCTGTCTGTGGCCTTTTCAACATCCCCCCAGCCTTCCAGCTGCAGGTCCAGCCCACTGACCACCACTCCAGATGAAGGAGGGCACTAGGGAGATGGAAACCACCTGGAATGATGCGGCCTCAAGGGTGGGCGTGGACCACCATGGTCATGGTCCTACAGTTGTCTCCTAAAGTTAGTCACACACACATTTGACCCATGCAGCTGCCGAGACCCACAGCCACACACCCATACATACAAGGCAACTGATGCATACACTTTTTTTGGAGAGGACTGTCTTGCTATGTAGTTCAGGCTGGCCTCAAACTTGTGATCCTCCTGCCTCAGCTTCCTGAGTGCTCGGATTACTGGTGTGAACCACCACGGACCGCATAGGCTTTCAGCCTTCGTAAATGCAGTATGATACATCCAGAATCACAAGCATATAACCAGGTACCTCACCAACCCATCCACCACACAATCCCTATGCTCACAACCGAATCCAACTGCCACCTCCTCAACCCACCCGAGCCCACCCGAGTTCAGAGCTCTCACTTCCTCTTCATCCATCACACTTAACATTACTGTCTCTGGGTCCTCGCCACACAGAACAGCATGCCCCAGCTGGGGTGGTGTCACAGCCAAAAGACATCCCTGTCCACTCCCATGGATGACCTCACCACCATCCAGGCACATGAGCACCCCTATCCATGACAGCCAGACCACGCATGACTCTGTCTTGGCTCTTCCAAGTTTCTTCCCACTGAGACACATCACAGCTGCAGAAGAATTGTTCCTGGCCACCTCTACACCTTTATCCATTAAACACACTTTCCAACAAAGACTCCCCAAAAGTACATGCTTTCCAATCTGTAGTTGTAAACACAGACCTTGGATACATGAGGACCAGTGGACCACAGAAAAAGTTTCTTTGTTGTTTATGAAACATTTTATCAGGGCTCTGCTCTCAAACACATACTGACCCACAGTCATCCCTACTCTGCATCTAAGTCCCCATTGCAGTGCTGGAGACAGAACTTAGTGGTAGAGCACTTGCCTAGTATATTTGGAAAGGCCCGGGTTCAATCCCTAACACTGCTCAAAATATAAAAATTTTTTTAGATCTCCATTAGATCCCCTGGTAGAGCTAGATGATCTAATGGGGGCCAAGTTCCAACTTCAGTATGGGGAAGAGGCCATCTCTGACCTCTTTGTGACTTGAAGGTCCTCATTTTGCAATAAAAGTTTGTTTCTGGTCCCCAGTCTGGCCCAGGGCAGGGCCTCCTATGCTGGTATGACCCAGTCTGTCCTAGTGAGTAAGAGGTGGGTATGGGGGAGCCCACCCCTCCCATGAGGCTGGGCGGGAGCTGAAAAACATGGCCACCGCCCACCCTGGCTGTTGACATCGGGACCAGATGTGAAGCTGAGGAGGGAGGGAAGGGGAGGGACAAGGCTGGGCTGTCTGCTATCCTGCTTCAGGGATCAGGGAAAGCCTGAAGCCAGCAACAGAGCTGGACTCTGGGAATTCTCCAACTCTGAAAGCAGCTACTAACACACAGGGACCAGCAACACAGAGCACTGCCCGGCTCTGACCTCTTCGACCATCCCTTCCCTCCTGCCTGCCCATGAAAGAAACCATGAGCACCCATGTGTTGTGACCACACACACACACACACACACACACACACACACACACAGAGTCCCCATCACCCCATTTCATTTACTAACCATCAACACGGCCTGCAGATGTAGCTCAGAAGTAGAGCACCTGCTTAACATGTATAAGGACCCTGGATTCTGCCTCCATCCCTGTTAAAATTAAAAACAAAATAACCAGTAGTTTTCTGCTATACTTATTTCACCTGTAGGTCTTTTTAAAGGTTATTTTAAGGGAAATATTAGAAAATAATTGAAGACATTCTTTTTTTAATTTACTTTTGTTGCTTGCCCTTTTTGAATTACTTTTATTACCTGTTATTTTGTATGTATGCACGTATGTGTTGCCATAACATGTATGTGGAGGTCAGAGAATAATTTGCAGGAGTCATTTCCCTTCTTCCGCCCTGTGGGACTCAGGGATTGAACTCAGATCATCAGGCTTCGCAGCAGGTGCCTTTTCTCACTGAGCCATCTAAATAGCCCTGATTTCTTTCTTCTTCATAAGGAGAATCAGGTTGGAGAGATGGCTCAGCAGTTAACAGCACCTCCTGCTTTTCTGAATTCAGTTCCCAGCACCCCTGTTATGCGACTGACAACCACCTATAACTCCAGTTCCAGGGGATCTAACACCCTCTTCTGGCTTCCAAGAGCACCTGCACAAACATGTGCACCCACAGATACATGCACACACACACATAAACAACAAAAATAACAGGGCCTGGAGAGATGGCTCAGTGGTTAAGAGCACTGACTGCTCTTACAGAGGACCCGGGTTCGATTCCCAGCACCCACATGGCAGCTACAAACTGTCCTTAAATCCAGTTCCAGGGGAATCCAAAGCCCTCTTCTGACCTCCACGGGCATTGCGTGACATGGGTGCACTTACCTACATGCAGGCAATACATGCATACACATAAAATAAAAACAATAAAAATAAATAAATAAATAAATAAAATATAATAAAAATAATAATGAAAATAAGTATTTTTTAAAGTAGAGGCTGGAGGGATGGCTTAGCGGTTAAAAGTCGTGCACTGCTCTTGCAGTGGTCCCAAATTTGGTTCCCACAACCCACATCAGATGACTCAAAACTGCCTATAATTCCAGCTCCAGAGGATCCTCTTTGGCCTCTGAGTGCAGACTCACATGCTCCTACAACACAGACACACACACATGTACACATAATTCGAAATAAAATCTTTTTTTAAAGATGATCTCATGTGGCCTGAGCTGGCTTCAAACTTGATATACAGCTGAAGATGACTTTGAACTTCTGATCCTCCTGCCTCCACCTTCCAACCCACTGGGATAACAGGTGTGTGCCACCACACCCAATTTATTTCATGCTTGGGGTCAAACCCACAACTTGCATGCCAGGTAAACACTCTACAAACTGAGCCACAGTGCCAGCCCTTAAGTACATTTCTGACTTCAGGACCTTCCCCCAATGTTTTATTATGACTATTTTCACATGTGCAACGATGTTGCAGGAACTGTTCAGGGAGTACCTATGTACCACATCCCAAATTATCTTGAACCTCCCACAGGCTGGCTTTCTTTTTAAACAGGGTCTCAAGTAGCACAGGCTGACCTTGAAGTCACTATAAAGCCAAAGCTACTCTTGAACTTTTAATCCTCCTGCCACTACCTCCCAATTGGTAAGGTGACAGGTGTGCATCACCATGCCTGGTTTTATATGGCACTAGGAACTGAATGCAGGACTTTATCCCACACTAGGAGAGCACTCTACCAACTGAGCTACCTAGACCTGTACCATCTTTTAAAAAATCTTCCTGGCTGGGGAGATGACAAAGTAGGTAAAATACTCACCACACAAGTATGAGGACCTGAGTTGGGATCCCCAGACCCCACAAAAAGTCAGACACAGCAGTGGGTGTCTGTGATCCCAGTAATACCGATGACAAGGTGGGATCCAGACACAGGTATCGGTGGGTGCTCGCAGATCAGCTAGCCTGGCATTAGGTAACGGTAAACAACAGAAGACCTGTCTCAAAGTGGAGGGTGAGGACCTATACCCAACATTGTCCTCTGGCCTCCACACCCATGCCATGGCACACTCTCACCCTTACACAAACAGGCACACATACACAGAATTTTTTTTCAATGTTTTCCATGATATCACCTTACTGACTTAAATTCTGTAGTAGAAGATGAGAGTAGAATCAGATCCTAACTGACATTTCCTATCTGATTACACCCTGCCTGGCTGAGGATTTGCTATTTAAAGAGTTAACAGGTGTCAAGCCAGGCATGGTGGCACACGCCTTTGATCCCAGCCCTTGGGAGGCATAGGCAGATGGATCTCTATGAGTTCGAGGCCAGCCTGGTCTACATAGTGAGTTCCAGGCCAGCTGGGGCTATGGGGAGACCATCTCTCAAAAGTACCCCCCAAAAGAGTTAATAGGTGTCAAAGAAATAACTGTAGAGGCTAGGATGTACCACAGTGGCAAAGGTCCTGCATAGAATCCCCCAGTGACGGGCTGGGAACATAATTCAATGGTAGAGCATCTGCCTAGAATCTACCAGTGGGGGACTAGGGGCCTCACCCAGCAAAAGTGGGCTTGCCTAGTATGTAGGAGGCCTTACATTCCATGCCCAACATTGCAAAACAAATGTGGGATATTCTGGAACTTAATTAGGAATCAAATGAGTGTTAAGGCTTGTGCTTTTTAAATTACATTTATTTATTACTCTGTGAGTTTGTATGTGTGTGCACACATGCCACAGCTCCTGTATGGAAATGAGAGAACAACTTATGGGAGTCCACTCTCTCCTTCCACCATGTGAGCCTTGGAGATTAAACTCAGGTTGTCAGGCTTTATGGCAAGTGCCTTTATCCGCTGAGCCATCTCACTAGCCCAACGCTTTTCCTTTTTAAGAAAACTGAGGCAATGACTTGCTTTTCCTTTGCACTCAGAATTCACATCCAGGAACATCTGGAATCAGCAAACATGTTAAGAGGAATGGTGCTAAATATGGTGGTGCATGCCTATCATCCCAGCATTTCGGAGACTCGGGCAGAAGGGTTACCGTAAGGTCAAGGTCAGCCTGGACTACAGAATGAGTTTTACATCAGTCTGATCTATACCTCAAGACTCTGTTTCAAAGAAAAATAACCATGGACCTCATATCAACATAAAAGTTGACACCAGGGAGGCTGGAGAGATGGCTCAATGGTTAAGAGCACTGACTGCTCTTGCAGAGGACCTGGGTTCGATTCCTAGCGCCCACATGGTGGCTACCAACCGTCCTTAACTCCAGTTCCAGGGGAATCCGAAGCCCTCTTCTGACCCCCGCGGCATTGCACGACACTGGTACACTCACATACATGCAGACAATACACTCATACACATAAAATAAAAATAATAAATAAAATAAAAAGTTGACACCAGGGTGATTTCAATAGCAAATAAAAAAGTATAAACTTCAAGCAGCTTCAACAACAGACAAGACTTGTTGAACACCAAACTAAAAATTATATACAATTACTGTGGTCATTTAGCATGGATCTAGGGACATAGTTCATTAGTAGAGTATAGTAAGCACCTTAAAATTACTGAGGATTTCTGGGTATGATGGTACATGCCTTTAATCCCAGCACTCAGGCAGAAGCCTGAGGCATGAGGCAGAGGAACTCACAGAGAATCTCTGTGAGTTCAAGGCCAGCCTAGTCTATGTATTGAATTCCAAGCCAGCCAGGGCTACATAGTGAGACTCTGATTCAAAGCAAACAAAAATAGCAAGGATCCAGCTCGGTTGGTAGAGTACTTATCTTGCAAACATGAGGTTATGGATTGGATACCCCACAACATCCACACACAACTACATAATATTTTAGAGATGTGTATAATTTAATAACATTAGATACACTCGTATTTTATTTTTATTCATTGTTGTATGTGTATGTACACTATATAAGTATGTGGCTACACATGCCACAGTTTGCTTGTGGTCAGGGGACAACTTTGTAGAGTCAGCTCTCTCCTTCCACCCAATTTATATGGGTTCTGGAGATTGAACTCAGGTCACCAGCTTGCATAGCAAGCAACTTTTCCCATTAAGTCATCACTCTGGCCTGAACATTCATGTTTTTTTTTTTTTAATGCTGGAGATGGAACTCAGTGTCTCATGCTAAGTCCATTCTGTACCAATGAACTGCATCCCCTACCCTAAAATTTAGGTTTCCTTTCTTTTTTTTTAAAGATTTATTTTTTATTTATGTGGGTGGAGATGTGTCTATGCACATGTGTATAGGTGCCATCAGTGGCCAGAAGAGGGCTTCGGATCTCTTGGAGGTGGAGTTAGAGGTGACTGTGAGCTGCCCAACATGGATGCTGGGAGTCAAACTTTGGTCCTCTTCAAGAGCAGCAAGTACTCTTAACCACTGAGCCATCCCTCCAGCCCCTCATTTTGTTTTGTTTTGTTCTGAGACAGAGTCTCACTCTATAGCCCAGGCTATCCTGGAACTCACTGTGTAGCCTGAGCTGCCCTCGAACTTACAGGGATTTTCTTCCTCAGCTTCCCAAGTGTTGGAGTTACAAGCATGAGCCACCACACTCGGGTAAAGTTTATTTTTGAAAAGTCAAAACTACATGACTCACTTTGGCATTTATCATAAGAGCAGTGTTTACATTTCCCTGGTGACCTCATAAATGTATTTTCTTTTAATCCTTTTTACATGCATTTATTTATTTTGTGTTGGGAAGAGGTGTGGGCATCACATGCCATGGAACTCCCACAGGAGGCAGAGGACAACTTTTCTCTCCTTTTACCATATGGGTTCCAGGGATCAAGCTCAGGCTGTCAGGTTTGCAGGCAAGCACCTTTACCCATTCAGCTGAGCCATCTCACCAGCCTCTATAAATGTATTTTATGCTATATTTAGTTTTGTATTATATTTTCTGTGCCTCTGCACGGCTTTTTAAAAGATTTATTTTATGATATGTGTGTGTGTGTGTTTGCCATGTATGTATGCACATCATGTGCATGCCTGGTACCTGAGAAGGTCAGAAGAGGGTGTCAGATCCTCTGGAACTGGAGTTACAGATGGTTGTTAGCTTCCATGTAGGTGCTGGGAACCAAACCCTGGTCCTCTCCAAACCACCAGTGCTCTTACCCACTGAGCCATCTCTCCAGCCCCATTCTGTGTGTTTTTCAAG